ATATCACGTCAATAGTTTTATATATTTTTTTTAATGACGGTTGACGAAATGAAACAAAATAATTTTATTTATGATTTTGAAAAAAAAGTTAAACAACTAAAACGAATCATGAGAATAGTTGGATGATTAAATTCATAATTTACCGTAAAGCAAACAAATAAATAATTTTTTGTGGGACAACGGTGCCAAATGTTCTGGTTAGAACTAATTTTGAGGTCCTCACATTAATGGCGCCCATTGAAGATGTTAATTCTTAAAGATTGAGCAGACTAACATTGGTTAAACACCAAGCAAGCATCGCTGCATGAAAATCTGATGAAGGATAAGAACTTGCCTTAAACTATCTCTTTAGGTGATTTAGTCACAGAATTATAAGATCAAATTTATTCTAGTCACTAAAATAATTATGAATTAGGTGATTTAACTTTCAGTTTGATGTCAATTAAGTCGGTTACCTTTAAGTTTTAACAGAGTCGGTGATGTGGCTTTTTTATTGGGATAGTAACAATTTCGATCCTTTACATTCACACGGTCATCAATTTGGTCCGTCCTTTTAGATTTCATGCTCAGGAATGGCCATTTTTATGGACCCAATATGGGCTACCATTCATTTCACATCTTATTATTCTTATATTGTACAATGCATAGCAAAATTGACCCAATATCGTAGGCGGTTAAATTTCGCCTAATACAGGTGCAAAGTAAATTATTTAGGGTTTATCCTAAACTGTAACATTTGCGTAGATTACAAATAATTTTAAACTGACCTATTAGTCAATTAATTTTTCCACCTGGTCTAATGGCCGAAAAACCTATAATTCATGGTTATCAAAGGCCCATATCATCCACAATACTGGCACCAAATTATGGAGTTAAATCCATATAAAATTTAGGGTTTTTGGGCCCAATAAGACAAACAACTTAATTAACTAGTCTAACAAACATATAAAAATTTATTTAAGAATTGTGGCATTCTGTATATACAGAGTTAAACTCGTCCATCGAGGTAATGGGTTTCATAAAAATATTTTTATTTAAAGTTTTTATATTGATGATAAATTTAATAAAATATATTTTATTAAAATTCGTCTTCTCAATGTGACGAGTTTAAATAAAAAATATTATTTGGACGAATAAATTTCTTGAACATTGTAACAAATACCATATATCCCAAAATAAACTTTTATATGCCCTATTGAGTTAATTAACAAATAAACAGTTTAGTCTTGTAGAAAGATTGAGGTGTCATTTTAGTGACTTTTCTTGTTTCCATTCTTCATACAACACCATATTTCTTAATTTTTTTCTTGGGGCGTTTGCCGGTGCTATTCTACCATGCTCTAGTTTGATTCTGATTCCAAGTCTTTGATTCCTGATTGGACAACTTTAGATTGATTAGCCAGAGTAAAAGTGTCTTCAAGTTGTTTTTTTCTTGGAGTGTTTACCAGTGCTTTAATGAATATTCACCTATTACTTTTATTCTTTTGACTAGCTTGGTCATGTATTTGTGCCATCTTTTTTTCTTCCAAATTCAGTGTCTTCTTCTTATACTTGATACTCTCCTTGTTCAAATATTATTTCTTGATATGAGCATTTGATTAAAATGACAATTGAATGCCTGAATCCTGCAGAATAGCTGCTTTCAGAGATAAAGAAGTTGACAAATGGCAGAGGAAGACAGAAGTCACAATTGGTGCTGCTGCAATAAAAAAACAATTGCAAGCTTTTAATCAGGTTTGATCCTTGGCTGACACCGACTCACTGATATTAAATCCATGCCCTATTGGATGTAAAATGAAATTTTCCAAGTTCCTTTCCTATGCCAGAACATTAGTGAACAAGTACAGCCTGTAGGAGGGATCCAAACTAGATTGATAAAGCAAATGCAACAAAGAATCAACAATCGGCATATTTGGGGTGCAAGTTACAATTTCTTGTTTGAGGGTTCTGAATTTACCCAAAACATTAGACATAGTTATGGTCTGCATTCTACACTATGACTTTTCGTTTCATGTTTTCTGCTTCTATTATTTACCCCACCTTTGTTTGACAGGTTACTGAGTCCGGTAGTATGCTAATGGAGAGGTAATGGTTTCTTTTTTTACTCTAGGCTTTAATGAACATGGTGTTTGTATTCAACTGCTAGGTTCTGGCCACTAACATACACCATGTAGAATGCATGATAGGCTATATGGGTTTGCTTTCGAGGATGGAAATTTTGCCCATGCCATTTAGAATTCAGGGTAGTTGGATAGGTATTACACCTATAGGATACAGAGATGCTTGTTCTTAAGTTCCTGTTCGGATAAAACTTAGGAAAGTGAAGTTGCTGATGATGAAGTCGTGAGGAGTGATGGTCCGTATTTAGCTAAAGTAAATGATGATTTGGATACGTTAGAATATGCTTTTGTTATCAATGCATGTTTTCTCCTCCTGTCAAAATTTTTATCTTTGAATCGTTTGTATGCCCAGGAAGCACATCCCGAAGGTGATCCCGAACTTCTAGATGATTGAATTTTACCACAGTTGCTGACGGAATTTTTTGAGACTGTTGACCCTACATCGTCAGGTAAATGTTCTCTACCATCTTTTAAAATTTTCTTGCATTATGAAGAATATTTTAATTTTTACTTAAAATGACATACTTTTTTGACCACAGAGACGGCCTTCTATGCCTTGAAAAGACTGCAAACTAAGAAGAGAAAATAGTTGATCATCGTGCATCAAAGAGTCGAAAGATCAGGTACGCTTTTCAAATGGATTGGATCGGCACCTTGTATAGAGTCGAGTTAATCTAACGTTGGAATTTTGTCTTAAATAACACCTTGCAGGTACCATGTTCATGAGAAAATAGTCACTTCATGGCTCCAGAGCCCGTGAACCTTCCTCCCATGGCTCTTTGAGAACTTGTTTGGACTGAAAGCCCAATAACCTAATGCTGAAATCTGATCCTTTTTACCAGGGCATTTGGAATTTTGTAGTGTTCATTGTTTGAGCTATTTAAGTAAAAGACATGTTTTTAACTATGAGTATAATATATTTTTTTCACAAGTCCAAAGAAAGGGGCTTTCGCATCATAATTATAATTGTGTGTGTTGGAGGAGGATGTAAAACCGGTCCTTTTATGCCATCATTAAGGGCGCTTTGAATGTTAGGGAAGGGTATATTTCATTTGTATTATAGCACATTTTATATGCAGTTAATTACAATGTGATGCGTCTGCTTCATTCTTTAAGCAATTAATTTCAGTTATTTTTCTAAGGTGAATCTTCACCTCTTTCCCACGTATAAATAAAGAATAAGACATCATTAAAAATTATTTAAAATTGACGGATACGATTCACTGAAACCATAATGATGGGTGAGTGAGAATCATGAAATAATTTCTCCATTTGAATGGTCTGAATTTTGATTTCCTAACGTGACGTGTTTTACCAATGGAAGTTATGGGCCGAGTCTACTGTTATTGACTTGTTATTGATGTTCATTATCTTTTTCATTTTTTTTATATTATACATAATAATTTAAATCTTATATGTATTAAGAAATTTAACATCTCGTAATAATCTTATGATATGCTAATTTTTTATATTTTATTTATCTTTATATAAAATCCACAATTACAATAAAGATCTCTAGAATTGATCTAATTAAGCAGATTGGGAGGGTTACTCAGTTTTTATTTTCATAATTTTTAAATAGTAATATAGTTTATTCGTGAAAATTAATATGTAATTAACATAATAAATGAAATGCGTTAAAGTACTATAAGCTGACCTTCATATCCCCTTCTGTTTTGTCAAATTGTTTTCGGACCTTCTCATCCTATAATAATTTGAGGGCTATATATAAATTTGACATATCAATAGTCCCCCATACAACTTTATATGTCTATTTTAAAAATTAATAATATTAGTACTACTGGATAAAGAGAATATAGTAAAATTTATAACATTGGAGTAGATTAATCAAATTAATTAATTAATTTTAAAAAATATCAAAATGTACAAATTAATTAATAAAGATGAAAGATGAGAGAGGGCAATGGGGTTCATCCCGCATATTGAGAGAGGGTTGTTCACCAGACGTACCTAACAGCCACGCTTCTCACTGTTGTTGTGCACCTCACCCCCATCGTCATTATTATCTTCCCGACTTAATTAGGTTCATTAATTATCCTAAACCTCAGCATCTAAAAGAATTGCGGATGCTGTCGCCTACTAGCATGCATGCAAGCTTAATTAACTCACACTAGTTGAGGTACCCATGCTTAATCTTATCCATCAATGATCTAGGTCTTGATCCCTTTTTCTTATAATTTTTCAATCGATTAATTCGATATGATTGTTCCATTTTAGGTAAATAAAGGATGACCCAAATCTTAGCATCGACGACATGATATTGATTCTTGGACAGTGAAACGATCAGTTACACTTTAGGGAATCTATAATGATTTGCACTATCAATTAAAGTTGGTCATATAGAATATATTCCGAATCAGAAAGATGGCAGATTCTTCTTGGTAAACGAATTGAGTTAATCTTTTAGTTAGTAACGAATTGAGTTAATCTTTTAGTTATGAAAGATCACGATTCTGGTCGTGTGCTTATATTAAGAAATAGTTTCACAACACGGAGGGAGGAAGCAAGTATCACAATTATGTGCCACTTTCCTCGTACAACATAAAATATAAGAGCACAACAAAACTTAGAAGATAATCACTAATGGCAGATTCTTCCATAAATTAATACTACTAGCAGATCATCGTCTTATTGTAGCTGAGATGCAAACCCATCCTGCATATCAAAACTACGGTTAAAATAATGGAAGGTGCTGCAATTTGAGCAATGTGAAAAAGTGCTTCACATGAGAGGAAAAAACCAGAAAGTTTGTAAGTAATGGACCCCTTTGTGCATATATTGTTAAAAAATTATGCAAATGAGTCCTCATGTAGGAATATACTGGTTTACATTGTACGACATATAGTTAGTTACCTTGGGCTAATTGGCAGAGGACCTATAGGGGAAGGGAACTTGGCCAGACTCGATGTACTTGACATCGGCCACAAGCAGCTCGTAGTGCCTCTTAACTTCGTCGGCAGTTTTCCCTCCGACGGCCTTGGCGACATTGTACCAACGGTCGGGAGTGTCCTTGTCGTAAACGGCCAAAGCCCTTTCGAAGTCTTTGTTCTGCTTGGCAGTCCATGAAGAGGACCCACGGGAGGACATTGAGCTTGATGCCATTATGTTAATCAATGGACTGCACAAGCTACAAAGGGGGGTATGAGCAAAAGAGTTGGCAATGGCTGCTCTTTTATAGGCAGCGAGGAGAGGTGGGCTATATGATATCTGTTGGCGTAGAGAACCTTGGAAAGAGAATTTGTAGAATTTTAGTGATTTGTTTCCTTCGGAACCACAAGAATTGTTGAGGACCAAGAAGTAGAAGAAGAAGAAAAGAAGAAATGCAAGAGAATCAGTAAAAAACAAAGACAAGTATATTAACAGTCAATAATATACGCATGCTAGCAATCCATGTCCTTTTCTTCGATTATATTATTCTTCCAATGATATGATGCAAGTGAAAAAGAAAGTTTCTTTATTCTTCTCCTTAGAATAACCAAGTAAAACCTGTTCAGGCTGATATATATGTATATATCAGAAAACAAGGCAATTACAGGGTACATATTATGATGAGAAGACGTAAATAACAGTGGATGGTACTTTGTTTGATATCAGATAAAATAAGCAAACATATCCTTATGGTTCATAGAGTTCCTTTGTAGTATATTTGTTTTGAATGGAAAACTGGCAGATTTTGTTTCACAGTGTATGAATTTAAGAAGTTATATAAAATTTAGGTATACGAAACTATACAAATTTTAAATAGTAAGAAACTATATTATCAATAAAAAATAAAATAAATATTTGAACTATATGGGGATTTAATATTTTCAAAGGGTGCATCCGCACCTTAACCTCGCTCGGTGCATCCGTGCTCACATCTATGTACCTCCAACTTTGAGGATCCAGATTCATGCACCAACCGACTTCATATAGTCAGCTGCGCTAAATTGCAATAATTGACAGAATCTTTCATGTTAGTCAGGCTCCATCTCTTCCATTGGATGTGCAATGCAAATACTGTGCATGTTCACTTGCAACTTGAGCATTATTTACAGTTCTCTACCATTACATGCAGAGAAAGATAAAGGGTCACAAAAATGGTAGGTTAAGATTGTGGAAGTAGTGCCATTTTGATAATCAACATGATCTTTACTTAAGAGTACAGATTCAAAATCAGAAAATGACACCAAATTCTGGGGACAGACCTAAATCTGCGCTGGGAATAACAAGTCAAATGTACAAAGCATCGGAAGCATCGGAATTCAAGAGGACGGTGGGATGACACACCATGAGTTTAACCTACAAGTTTTAAAACAACAAAAAAGGAATTTTAAGCTCTGCAAGTTGAGTTAGGGTTAGCCCCAACCTACAAGGGCTTACCCCTCACTAAAATTCCCGCAACTAGTTGGAACGGAATGTCCGGGGACGAAGTTATAAAATTTAAAGGGCGAAAACAGATTATTAATGTCGTAACGGTTTTCGCCCGGGCACGAATTTTTACTTGACGAGAAAATTGATGTGAATAAATGGTTTTTGAAAATAATTTGAGAGTCGCCATCGGCCTTTGGGTCAGGTAGGTCGAATACCTAAAAATTATTTTTTTAAAAGAGTTTTAAGAAACATCAATTAAAAAATGAACTGATCTGCATTTATAACCAAAAATTCGTTCTTTTAATAATAAAAAGGGATTCGTGGTCGGTTACGTTTAGGGAAGGATTAGCACCCCTACAATGCCCAAATTGGTACTTTTTAATTATAAATTGTCTCTATTAAAAATTTCAAAATATATTTAATTATAATCTTATTATTTCGAAATTATAAAAAATTTATTTATTTAAAAATATCGGAAAAGGACTTCTAGGTGCCTTAAGAAGTTCTTTTCTTTGATATTAATTAATTTACATAAAATTAAATAATATATTTTTTATAATATTTAATTTTAAAATACCAGAATAGGACATCCATTGTATTAAGACTGCCCTTTTCTTCGATATTGAAAAATAAATGTTAAAATAATTTTTTAAAAATAAATTTATTTATTATATATATATTTATGACTACATAATAAAAATATTTAAATATATAAACAAGTAAATTAAAATAATAAAAATACAATTAGAACTATATATTTAAAAGCAATGAAATAAATAAATATTTAAATTATTGACTAAATTATAGTAAATTAAAATTAAAAACCTAAGTCAATATTAATCAAATTAGGATTAAACATGCTATTTTTATTTATTAATTTAGTGACTAAAATAAACTTATCTAAAATTCGAAATATTAGATTAAAATAAATTAAAACTCGGGTTTAAAATATACTTATTAAAATTAAGGGATTAAATCTGTTATTATCCTAAATATATTATTTTAATACAAAGGACTAAAATAAAAAAATTAAAATTAAAGAACCGAATTAAAAGGATATAAATTGATTTAGTGACTAAAATGTAAAGTTTACAAATTAGGCTGACTGCGGAAAGGATTTAACTATTATTTAATTACACGAATAGCCCTCCCCAAAACGGCGTCGTTTGGGAAGGGCTATTTAAGCCCCTAACCGGCTGGCCCTTCGGGCCAGCTATCCCATTTTCCTTTTTTTTTCTCTCAAACAGAGAGAGAGCCAGAGTTCTCTCTGGCCTCTCTCTATCTTCCCTCACCAGAGGGAATCCGGCAGCTGTCTGCCGCCAAATTCTGCCGCCGACCACGCCTCCGGTGGTCGAATTCCCCAAATTCACCTAAAATATAGATCTAAACACCCTAAGACCGAATCCGGCCTTGTTTCCCCAAAAAGACTCTTAATCGGAGTAAATCTATGAAAATACCTTCGGTATTTTCTGTTCTCCGGCGATGTTTAGTGCTTCCGGCGATGGTCAAGGCTTCTTTGGTAAGCTTCTTTCCTTTCTTTTCTTTTATTTTTGGTTGCTGTGTTGTGGATTTCGTTTTTTTTTTTTCTTGTTTTTGCTGGTCTCTCCCTGTTGTTCTCTATCTTTGTTCGCAGATGGGGTGATGGCTTTATAGCCATCACCGGCGCTCGTCTTGGACCGGTCCGAAGGGTGGAGTTCGTGAGTCACCGGACTCCTAGTGATGACTCACCGTTGGATGACGGTGTGCGGCCGGAGTGGCGGCGAGGCTGAAGCAACGCCGCGTGGTCTTCTGGAATCTACGGCTGGCGCTGGGGACGTGTCCCTAGGGTATTGATACCCTAGGGTTTCCTGGAAACTGTGGACCGTTGGATCAAACCGATCCAACTGCTGAAATTGAGCGGCGGCAGATGGATAGAAAACCCTAATTGGGTTTTAGGGTTTCTGATTTGGGCCAGTTGGGTCTTTGTAATTGGGCGTCCAATCTGGGACTGTTGTAATATTAATAAAATATATTATTAATAATAATAATTATTATAATAATAATAATAATATAATAATACTAATAATAAAATGAGTAAAAAAAATTTTTAGTATCTTCAGCTGCCCCTCTTTGCTCATTCTTGTGTTAACAAGAATAGGACAAAGACGAAAAGATAAATTTTTTATCCATTTGGCTTCACTTGATAGCAATGTTGAATAAATCTTCTCTTTCTTCAGATGAGTTCTTCTCATTATGAACTTTCCGCTGGGATGATGTTGACATATTTCTTCTGTGATAGAGTCATTCCAAGGTTGAATAAGTTCTTCTCATTATGAACTTCTTCATTCTTTTTCAGATGAATTCTTCTCATTATGAATTTCTCTGTAAAGGTGATCTATTAAGTGATGAATTCAAGCAAAAGTTGAACAAATTCTTCTCATTATGAATCTCTTCTTTCAGATGAGTTCTTCTCATTATGAACTTCTTCTTCTTCAGATGAGTTCTTCTCATTATGAACTTCTTCTTCTTCTTCTTCAGATGAGTTCTTCTCATTATGAACTTCTTCTTCCTTCTTCAGATGAGTTCTTCTCATTATGAACTTTCTCTTCCTTCTTCAGATGAGTTCTCTCATTATGAACTTTCTGGAAAAGCTGATCCATCGATGATGGATTTGAGCATAAGGTTGAACAAATTCTTCTCATTATGATTTCTTCTTCCTCTTCAGATGAGTTCTTCTCATTATGAACTTTCTCTGGAAAAGCTGATCCATCAAGTGATGGATTGAGCATAAGGTTGAACAAATTCTTCTCATTATGAATTTCTTCTTCATCCTTCAGATGAATTCTTCTCATTATGAACTTCTCTGGAAAAGCTGATCCATCAAGTGATGGATTTGAGCATAAGGTTGAACAAATTCTTCTCATTATGAATTTCTTCTTCTTCTTCAGATGAGTTCTTCTCATTATGAACTTTCTCTGGAAAAGCTGATCCATCAAGTGATGGATTTAAATCTTGCTAAAATCTTTGAAATTCCTGTCAAAAATTCAACATGGATGAGAATGAATGAAAATGCACCTATTTTTGCAAATGCCTAAATATGATGCATGATGTTAAGTTATTTGATTTCAGATTGGTGAATTGAATATTTCTTCAGTTGTAGAACCCAATAAATCTTTCTCTCAAATCAGAGAATCTATCATCTTTGGCGCGTCCTCTTCTTGGCTCAGACATGAAATTATGTCTTTAAAACTCTTCTAACCTCTTCAAACCATTTTTACTATAATTTTAAAAAATTATAAAATGTCATTAAATTTAATGAATTATTACAAATAGTCACTATAATGTTGTAATAAATTATAAAAGTTCGTTAATATAATAATTATTTATAGTATTAGATAAATTTATTAATAATTTTATAATCTTTTAATAAATTTATAAAGTATTTTATAATTTTTTAAACTTTATTGACGAAATAATCATTTGTATATAACTCACCGATATCTAATATACTTTATTTAAAAAAATATATTAAACTTAGTAAAAAATATTATACAATTAACTTAGTAAACTTTTTTATATAAACTTAGAAATCACGAGACATGCAATTATAGCATTAAAAGGCAAAATAAATGTTTTAATAAAAAAATATTCACACTATTGAAAAATCTGATTTTATCATTTAATTCTGGTAAAGTACGAAAGTCCCTTTATACAGAATAAATAAATAAATAACAAATAATATATTTTTCTAAATAGAAAAATACTAATTG